AGTCGCTGGCCACCACGGTGATATTGGCGGTTCTGCTGGCTTCGCGCAGCATTCCTCCCTCACTGATTCCAGTGAGCTGAAACTCAAAGAAGCGCTTTTCTTCGGGAATATCATCATTCAAAGTCTAGAAAAGGGCAAAAAGGCCATTAACAGTACAGTCTGTAAAGTGTAAATGACTATACCTGCCATACCTACAACAAGACACTCGTCTCCCTACACACTTCCACACAGCAAAAGGCACGGTAGAAATTAGTAGCGGGTAATACCTGTATTATTACAACGGCTGCAGACTGACCATCGCGCATGGTAAGTTCCCCAGAGGTTTCCACAAACTCCCCCTTTGAAGGAGGGGATATTCTCCAGTACACGGTGACCTCTCCCCAAATCCCTGGGCCACGAATAAGGCTGCAATATACAAGAGTCTAGTTATTAGAGCAACCTTTCCTCAATATTTGCTGAGTCAACAATAAAAATCCCAAACTCACAGCCATGGAGTCTGGGTCCTCTCTGGGGCAGGGCAGAACCACCCTGAGAGGTTCCCAGACTAACGCTTTACAAGAAGAGAAAGCCCTGTCTTGTTCCCCGGGTGGCGGGTGGTTTCCGTCTGATGACTTGGTGGATTGCAGTCCAATTCATAAGCATTACACTACCAGGGCTTCAATCAAGAATACATAAATTTTATCACTATAAAAACATCTGTTTTGAAATAATATCATCTATCAGCTAAGCACCAAAAAGAAAGTATTATAATCCCAAGGCAGTTGCACCCAAAGTACTAATCTAATGACAATCTCTAGACAAGAATATTGGCAAAAACTGCATATTAAAAATAGAAGATTCAAGACCAAAAAGAAAGATTCATAAATACTTTCACATACAAGACACACTATATAAATCATCTAACAAACTTCTCTGCAGGAGAGTAAACACTTCCCACATGCATATGCTGATAAAAAAAAAAACCAATGAAAAAGATAAGATTAGGTCAAATAACATATTAAATCAAATCTAGCTACTTCACTGATAGCTACCCCTCGGGAGAACCCTGAACTAAGCAAATCTGTCTATGGTCAAACTATATGATAGACCCTCATTTCAACACTTAGAAGCATAAAATGCTGGAACCAAGTGGTATTCTACAGAATGGGTTTGTAGCTAAGACATACACACTTTGAGACAAAGTAACTCTTATTACTCACACTGAGTGACAAAATGGACTGAAAGCATAGAGCTGATGGTGACTCAATGTGCGCTTGGGCTGTACCAATGTGCACTTGGCTGCACCTCAAAAATAGTCAGAAACCTCGCCGGAATCCAGCTTCAAGGTAAACAGTTGCCACCGAATGAAATCTACTCCTGGCCAACCCCACATGCTTCAGTGTCTGCATTTCCAAACATGAAACTGGGCCTTCCTCGCAGGGTGCTTCTGGGAGGGCTTGAACCTCCAACTTTTAGGTTAACAGTGGAGGACATCAGCCTTGTGTACCACCCAGAGGCTCTAACTTCAAAACAGATTATTAGGTTAACATCTGTCAAAGCCTGTTCTTCTTCCCACAGGACGGTGTCAACATAGAAGGTGATAATGCTTGAAGATGATGCAAGTCTTGAACACATATAGTGAAGGTATATAAAATGCTAATTATTTCAATACAACTCCATAACCTCTACCTGGGTAAAGAAAAACTATGAAGCAGTTACCTGATGATAGCGGTGCCATTATATTTTGCTGAGGGCTCTCCGATGAGAACATGTGTCGATGAAGGTGCTATCCCAACTTCTCCGGACACTCCCTTATCTCCCCGAATGATGATGGATGCACTCCCTAAGACAAAGACGAGGCGAACCACTTAATGAACAAACCCACACATGCCACATGGATGCACACGGAGACACTGAAATCAACGAGGCAAGTAACGTGACCAAGAATATACTCTACTAATGCTTTAACAAAGGAACAAAGAGAATGTGGGTGTTAATTCTATGATCACTGCTATGGATTGAACTGTGACCCCCCAAATACACATTTGTGCTGTACTTACCAATATTGTTACCTGTTTACAAATATATAATCAGATATTATTATGCTGAGAGTTATCATATTATACAATCATATTACCATATTATCATTTATCATATAACAATATTTTAATCACTTGTTATTAAAACCACAGCCTGTGGGTATAATCACATTTGGAAATGGATTAGGCTTTTCTGGTACTAATATGTGATATGGTGTGAAAGGTAATCGACTGCGTAATATGGGCCTTCTAGCCATATTCTCATTGGCCATAATACATTTTGTGGTGGATTGTCAAGTTGAGCCTCTGGGCTAGTGGCTATAAACCTTGATAGAGTTCTCTGTTACAGGATTAGGGTGGATCCAGCTCTAGATCTCGATTCACTGGAAGGTGTGATTTACATCATCACATATTTGTTTTCCCAGGGGTTCGGTCTGATGAAATCTAAGTTGTTTCTCACTCAAATCTTCCCAGTGATTTCTGTTTTCTGACTGACCTTTGGTTGAAGCAAGACTAGCACTGACTTCCTGATATTTTTGGCTTCTGGCTCTGGACCTTGCATTTGGCTCACCTCCGCCAGACCTTCTAAGTGGGGCTTAACAGAACCCACAGCCACGTGAGGCATTTCCTTGACGTTTCATGAGTTTCTGTGAGAAGTTGCAGACAATTGCAGAACCCAGTTTCAAGAAGGGATATATGTAAGGGAGCGGGGGCAGGAGGCGGGGGAATGGAGCGAAATAACATCTTGGAAGAGTTGGACATTTGGGAGATCTTTAATCTCCAACTCCTTAGTATTAATTCTTCTAAAGTATATATATATATATACTTTATATATATACTTAAATATATATATTTAACCACAAGGTGTATTTTAAATGGATCTCCTTTGAGACATACAAGCAAAGCAGAGTAGCACAGATGAGGAAGAGATGCCTATCCACATAAAAATCACCAAGGAGCTAGAATTTTAAAAGGCAAGGACTTGCTCCCGAGCTAACAGAGAGACACTTCCCCTAGAACCAGCACCCTGAACTCAGGCTTCTGGTTTCTTAGCTGTGAGAAAGTGACTTCTGTTTGTAAAGTCATGCAGTTGTGGCATTTCTGTTATCTCGACTGCCATCAAGACATGCTGACTCATTGCCACCCCATAGGATAGGGTAGAACTATGCTTGTGGGTTTCTGAGATTGTAACTCTTTATGGAAGTTGAAAGCCACAACTTTCTCCCTAGGATTTGAACCGCTGACCTTGTGGTAAGCAGCCCAACATGTAACCACTCGACCACCAAGGTACCATTATTTCTGGTAGCGCAGCACTGTAGGTCTAAGATAAGGAGCCCTGGAGGCATGTGGGTTACACTGTGAGTCGGAATTGACTTGATGGCAGTGCGTTCTCAAGTCTATCTGCCTAAGGTGATCATCACAGGATAAGGAAGTGCTCTACCACTGGCATCGACTCCTTTTGACATAAGACGCTTAGTTTCAACTGGCAAGCATTCCTCGGGTATTTTCATTATTGTTTCTGAATTTACCATTTGTCTTCAAGCCTTTATAAAACTTTGTCCACTATTTCTCTAATCTTTTTTTAATCTGAAAGCATATGACTGAAATGCAAATAAAATTACATCAAGTAATTTGAATATTCATGTGATACCTTCCCAGTGAACTGGAGAACCTTGGAACGTAGGGTTCCAGAGACAAACGCGCTGTATTACTGAGTTTCCACACTCTCCGCTCTCGCTAATGAGACCATGAATGGTTTGTCATGTGTAAGTATGTCACAGTCAGATGGACAGACATTGTGATTTTTTCCACATTGATAAATCAATTGCTCTAATTCAGGTGTCCTCAAACTTTTTAAACAGGGGGCTAGTTCACTGTCCCTTAGACTGTTGGAGGGCTGGACTATAGTTTAAAAAAAAACTATGAACAAATTCCTATGCACACTGCACATATCTTATTTTGAAGTAAAAAAACAAACGGGGTAAAAACACCCAGCGGGCCAGATAAATGTCCTCAGTGGGCCGCATGTGGCCCGCGGGCCGCAGTTTGAGGACCCCTGCTCTAATTCCTTGATATATCTCTGTTATTAAGATTTTTTAACATGATTTAACTCTTTAACTGTTTTGAACATAGTTTAACTGTTTACTTAAAACTTACAGACAAAAATGCACAATGGTGTGGTTTCCTGATAGGCTTGGCAAAAAGCATTCTTATTTAAAAACCCCAAAAGACTGACTACTCCAGGTACCTATGCTGATACTTGCTCCTTTCTGAGACTTTAGCTGGCTATAGAATTCTGATTTTTGACATCCTCATACACAAGAGTTCTTGGTGACAAAAGACCTGTAGCAATATACAAGCCTTCATACAAAGCTCATTGGTCTTTTCTTGTGATTATTATTACTTATAGCACAATAAGACCATTCGAAAAGTGGTCTTTTCTCTACAGATCCAGGAACTATGAACTATAGGCAAATAAAAATGATGATGTTCATTTCTGAAATGCCAAAATATCTACATAGTTATTCTCTGATTAAAATAGGCACAAATGGATGAAATTGTAAACACAATAAAGTGCTAACTTTTATAATAGCATTGGAAAATTAATATGTGATCATTATAAACATGTTTAGAAAACATAGGCAATTAAAAACCTTGATTAACATGTCATGTAATTAATTCCAAACACATGAGTGACATGCACAGGACAAAAATGAGATTATATTGAACATAGTGCAATGACCCCATTTTATTAACATAACAATTATCCACATTATAACCGTTTCTTAGTCTTAATGAAATTAAATCTAATTTTGCTGCATCACTTTGAATGTTGGTCATATTTAACCAGACTCTCACTGTTGTGATATTAAAGAAGCTTTCCATATTCTATCTATGAGTAGGATTACAATTAACATTTTATTTGAGTGCATGCATACACACACAGCTAAACTATATGAAATCTTCACATATAATCTTAACAACACTAGATAATATAATTTTGAAAAGCCTTTACCTATAATGTAGGTGTAAATGACATTTTTTCTTTTTCTTTTTAACGTTTTATTGATAGACTGTTCACATATCATACACTTCAATTGTTAATTCCTTTTTTAAAAGAGTTGTATGTACATCATCACAATGAGTTCTAGTGCTCGTTCCCCCCTCCCACATTCTTTATTTGCTCCCCAATTCCTCTTACCCTCCCACATCCTGTTCCTAATAAACCATTGCATTAATTATTGCCTCTAC